TACAAAACATTACAGTTATAATCCATTCAAGTAATCCATTTGTTCTGTTCAGTGAGGAGTCAAGATTCAGTTTTAACATCTTATTTTAAATGCATTTAAATCTGGTGGAAGCCAGGAATGTAAAAGACTTTCAGCAAACATGCTGAAGCTTGACAATTATAGCAGTGCAGATGCAATGATGGTATGGGAGGAAATGATGATAATACTTCCTGGCATACATTCCAATGTAAGATGTATGCCTGCCTGGATATGAAAATTAAATATTACAATTCTAAAGTTTTGAAAAGATGCATATGGATCTGATTTTGTTTTTAGGGATAATATAGATTCACATGGAGCAAACCTGAGTTGGAATATCACAAAAACAAAAAAAAAAAAAAAACATTCTTAGAAGAGTTGTGATTTTCTCCTTTTAAGAATCGCTTTGCCTTGAATGCCATATCGGTAGAAAATTTGAAACGTCTATGCTAAATACGTAATTAACCAGTTCTGATCTGTATCATTCCATATGCATTAAGTTAAATGGGTTTTGAAAGTCAATATTTTTGTGCATGAAAATAAATGTTGGAGAAAGGTGGTACTGCTGTTACAGTGTTTAATTTGCTGTAAAAAGATAAGTGCAAAAGGATCCTTCCATATCTTTTCATAATATGATACATTAGTTGAGATGTTTTAAACAAACCACACAAAAATCATAAATGATTTAGAATATGAGGCAGATCTATCTGGGGCTCAATATGCAAATGACACTGAGTTATTTCCAGTTTCTTAATGTTAGTTGGCAGAGTCTGAAATACATTTCAAACAAAGAAATTTATTTTTAAAATTCACATTTAGATGTAATGTGTTCTGTATCTTTTCTGAAATCTGTGTTCAAAAAAGCAGTGTTCTTTCCCCACCCTTGTAATGAAGAACATAAGATACATATTTTGAATTTCTAAGCTGATTACTTTTAGAAAAATTTCAGCAATCTTAAATTTTAGTACATAATAAATTTGTACCATACCCTTCTTTCACTACTGCTTTCTGGTCTAATAATAAGTCCAAATGGTTTCTGTGGTAACTCATTGGGAGGAGCCTGTCCTGGCAAATGCAGCTTATGCTTCTGAAGATCTAATATAGTAGTCTGAAGGGCTTCAATTGCAACATCATCATAATAACCGAAGTCCTGCTCCAGTTTTATTTGCAAAAATTCTATCAGTGTATCCATGTCCATTTTTAATAAAGTTTCTAAAAACAAAATGTTTTCAATTAACCACATGGGCATTTTAAATAACTAAATAAGATAAATGTTATTTCAAAAGACTCTGAATACTCCTGTCTTTAAGCATATAATGTTCGCTCTCTAGAATTTATATTATATTTGCGGTGTTCAGCAATAAACAATCTCTAAACAATAAGATGGTTTTATTTATTAAACTTATTATGACAAAGTTCACAAAGGCTTACCTTTATACCTTTCCAAGAGAAACAGGTTTCTGCTTTTGTTACTATGCATCAAAACATTAAAACATGGATATTCAACCCATTTCTTACAATGTGAACATGAGTAGAATTTGCGTTCAATTAGCAGTGTTCAATTGTTTTATTCCCTTGGATAATGGTGGACCACAAAAGATGGTTATTTGGTTGCTTAATTCCAAACTTAATGAGGCAAAAATACACAAGATCTATCTGCTAACAGTATGAATTTCCAAGGAAAATTAGCTTATATCTACATTACATGGGAGGAAAAAAAAACCTACAACCAGCCATACTGTTTACAGAAATCTGAATGCAGTTCAGATGTCCAGCAAGTTTACCCACTCCACTGCTAGATGGATTTTACATCAATAAGAACAAATTATTATTGATCACCATTTAGAATCATCATTAATATCAGGAAAGGATTTGAAAGGATAAGCATTAATACCTAGGTCTCTCACTCTGTGATTACTCTTTTGCACATGGCACTACTTAAAAGAGTTTTAAAGGTACCTTGGAACACAATTTTTACCAAGCATAATGCGACCAAAAGCCATATCTTTGCCAAGAGAGAATCTACTGTTTTGTATATGAAGAGTTCAAAAAACACAAAAAACAAATGCATTTGTCTTTTCAAAAAGTGAATTGCTTATTACAGGTTTAGGTTTAAGAACATTTTCTGAACGATTTACTTCAAATAACAATAAAATGTTTGCATCTAATCTTTAAAAACATATTATGTATTAAAAAGAGGCAGATAAGCTATACCATTCCGACAGATACATAGACAATGAATTTAAGAGAGAGTGAAAGTGAAATGCTTTCCTCATTTTGGAAAATACGCCAGAGCCATGAAAGTCATCAGAACTACCGATTTATCATAGATCATTACACTACTAATTACCAAGAGTTAGACAAAAAATTACCATCAAAACTACCAATTTTGGAGCAGTATATACCAAAGTGTAGGTTGCAACTCATTAGCAGATGGCAGAGAATTTTTGGCGAGTTACAATAATTTTTGTAACTATATAATATATATGTATAAGAAAAAATATAAAACTCAAAATTACTCTTTTTAATTTGGGTACTTCCCCTCTCTATTTTAAAATTACTAATAACTTTTTCTAAACTTCAGAATTGAAAAACTCACCCCAATTACGTCATCTGCATTGCCATAAGATCTTGTCCAATTACCATTCAAAATTTAAAAGATTCCAATCTTATATATAATCCTGCTGAAGTGCACATTCACTTTTTCTACTTGCTCTCGCCTGGCTAATTCAAGTCTCATTGCTTGGCTAGATCTTTTATTGTTTAAAAATATGTTAAGTGTATATAGAATTGAAGGATGCTTGTTGCACTCATACTGATGTAAAAACGAGAAATTATATTCTAAGAAATTATTCTTCAAGAAAATAAAATTATGTGTCTAGTTATCTACAAAGTATTCAGCATCTGCAAGTTTCTTCTTCTATTACGAATCCTATTTGTATGCGAGCTACAGATCTCAACACATCCTGGCCAGGATTAAGAAGTAATTGGTATCTTCATCTATAAAATTATTACATTATTTATATATACTATGTTCGCTGCTTGTTAAAATCACTTCCATTCTAAACATATTTAAGTTTATTAAGCAGCTAAGTTTAATAAGTAACTTTTGGTATACTGCAAACAGTGATAACAGTTAATTTTTTTCAAATTCAATTTTCAAAAAAAAATTAACTCACTAATAAATTCTAAAATATTAATTCAAAATAAATACTAAAATTAAACTATTTGTGCAGTTTTTAAATTGATTTTTTATGTTTTCATAAGAATACATTTACAATTTTGTTCTTGATGAAATTTTATCTATTAAACACAACTACAGTCAAAAGTCTTTAATCCGGACTTCCATAATCCGGAATGATCTATAATCTGGACCTCAAAGCTACAAACTTTCTGCGCATGCGTAAACGCATAATGCACATGTGCATGTACGTAATATGTTTATGCATGTGCATTTAATGTATGACGGACGGTATAAGCTAAACTAAAATTATCCAATTATCTATTTCAGTTAATGTTGCAGATTGCATTGTTCTTAAATCTTTGAATTGTATCCGGCTTATTATTTTTTGCAGACTGTTAGAGCAATTTTATAAAAGTAAGCTTGAACTTTCGATTATTTCAAAAGGAATTTCCGATTCTGGAGCTGCCAAAGGATCTATAAAGCGAAAGCACGTTTCGATGTCCATCAAAAAAAGTGGAATTGCTGCACAAAATGGATAAAGGCATATCCTTTGTTTCTCTAACCATTCCAAAATCTGTTTATCAATTTCACGCTGCTCTGCGGAGGGGGAAACATCGTGGTGCACAATGAACTGGAAGTTATCTGTCAGCACTATCCTTATCTTCAGGGCAGATGTTTTTATTTTATTCGGCTTATGATTCCTTACTAAATGTAGTATTTCATCTCGATGTTCTCAGTCTTTGATATGATTTAAATCAAATTCCTCGTCATTATAAATATCACGAATACACATCAAATAGTTTTCTGGTTGCAATTTTCTAATTTCGAGTATGTGTAATGTATGCTTTACGCATGTGCGCGTTGAAAGAAATGTTTAATAAAGTAAACAAATAAATATTAAGCTTTTTTTTTGTAAATTTTGATACCCTTTAGATCATAATTGCTCTTTATTTCATAAATTACAGTTTCATATTTTTAATTTTATAATTTCTGCATGCCATCTTACCAGATTTAAACTGGTGATCTATAATCCGGAAAAACCAATAATCCGGAATCGCTGAAGTCCCGATGAGTCCGGATTAAAAACTTTTGACTGTATTTTATCTGTGTTTGTTTTATACTGTTCAAAAACATTTTTTCAATTGCATTCTCAGTTTTGTAAAACTGCTGATAGCTTTTCTGATCAGCACCATTCATTCAGTTCAAGAATTTTTCTTAGAATTTGCAATGCTTTTCTAGATTTGATTGATGGCATCCCTTTTGCAATCAGTTTCTGCAGCTCTTTTAACACTTCATTTTGAAGGTATAATTGGGTAGTAAAGTTTAAAGAATTAGGTTATTTAAATCTTTATGTAAAAAAAGTTTATTTTTAAAACTGTATTAAAGTTATACAGTCAGTTTTTATGCAGCTTGTCTCAATATTGTTGTGAACTGAAAATATTCTAGAATCAGCAAAAATTCCCTCAATGATATGTGAAATATTAGCTAAAGTCTGTAATTTCTCTGAGGCTTCTTCAATATAAAAGCCAGATTTTTTAAAACAATTTTTAAGTGATTTTAAGAGATTAATCCCCTGCATTGACTATAATATGCATAGCCTCTAGCAGAGATAAAATTAGGGCGCAATAACACGCTAAACAAATACTAATTCAGAAGTCAAACAACATAAATCAGCATTATATTTTTAAATTTTCACAGGACTAGTTTCGATGGTTTTACCGAACCACCATCCTCAGCTGCAAAAGTGCAAATGGTTCCATTGGTTGTGCCATAATATTTGGCCATGTTATTTTTTAAGACCCTAATTTTTCAAAGAAATCTTCCATTTTTTTTTTTTTTTTTTTTTTTTAAGGTATAAAAGGAACGGTTTGAAAGAAATTTTTTGTTATTTTTTGGCGGTAGCTAATCTCCTTATTCTATATTAGTTTAAAATTTTTACCTTGAAATCTTGCTTAAAATTAAATGGTGAACCCTAGGTGTGCCCACTGGGCTCACGATAATTAGGACAACTGAGAGTCTGTATTCTTGTTTTCCGCATCTATCGTCATTATTGACACAATCTCGTTCAGCACTCCTTTTGAAGCTCTATTCAATCCCCTGCACTTATCTTTACAAAATTTTACTTGTGTACTCCTCTAGGCCTAGTTAGACTGCCTACCTTTTTTTTTTTTAAATCAAAACTCCAACTTTAAAAGGTAGCGTGCCGGAAAGGGTTAAAGCATGACATGCCTGAATGATAAAGCCATGCTCCACAATACATTAAACAGATAAACCTTGAAATTCCTGGAAATCTGAGTGTAATAAATGGCTAAATTTATTAACCAGTAAGTTTAATAAGCAGCAGGTATTATGTAAAAATTACTATACATAATTTTGAATTAATGTATATTATCAATTATTTCATTATGTTCTTCTACAAATCTCTCAACCACTACTTTCCCCCCCCCCCAGAGTACATGAATCATGGCAAAACAAAGTTCTATGCATGCTGGTCACTATAAATTGGAATTATGTGTAAGGGATTATAAGGTTAAGAAGTTTGCAAAACACTACTATAATGGGTATTAGAACTACATGCACTACAATACACTAAAAATAATTATATTACAATATTGTTACGAAATGTAAAGGCGCAGTAAGATGGCTTCCCCGCTAAGCAGTTTTAGGGTTGTCATGGGTAGCGTGGAGAGTCTTGAGAGTATGTGGAGTTTTGAGAACGACCAAGCAGAGTCGGGAGCTGTACTCTGATGCTTTGCAGTGAAGCTGTCTCCACCGTGATAGCTTGATAACCTGGAGGCTGTATTGCTGATCGTATCAGCGTGTTTATAGTAGTTCATCAACAACTGTAAAATTGTTTAGGAACCGTCCTGATTAGTATTGGCTAAATAAAAGTGTGTTTCGATACTTCATCAACTGTCGTCGTTATTCACTCCAAATCCACATGAACCCCGCAAGAACATGAAGGAAGATAATAACGTAACAACTGGTGTTAGAAAAGAAAAACATAACATTTCTGGGCGTGGGTTCAAATCCCACTTCTGACACCAATTGTTACATAATTTAATAACCAGTAATTTAATAAATCTAAAGAAGTTAAATATTCTTATTTTCTAAGGAAGGCTATTTGATTTAGGAAAATGTATAAAAAAACTTACAGACTTTCCTTTTTTTAATGTTTTAAATAGAGAAATGTTCTAACTTTCATTGTCATAGGGTTAAATTTTGAAATTACTTTTGCATATATTTTGTTATCAAATTATATAAACTGGATCAAATTACTGTTTTTGAAACAAAATATTCTCTGTTATTTAATTACCTTAAGATATATATTTCCTGCATAATACAAAGTACTGAAATCACTTATAGTTTGAATTTAAAAAAAAAGCAGTAATCAAAACTTACTTCTGTGCAACTTTAATAAAGTAAAAGACATAGCTGTCAAGATAACTTCACCATCTAGAATATATGCATCCCAAAGCCGTAAAGTCAAAGTAAATGGCACCTATAATAATATTTACTCATACAATATTACTCACATATAAACATTCCTAATTAAGCTATTTGATATTTGTAATAATATTTACTCATATATATTACTCACATATAAACATTCCCAATTAAAGCTATTTGATATTTGTAATAATATTTACTCATATAACATTACTCCCATATAAACATTTCCAATTAAACCTATTTGATATTTGTAATAATATTTACTCATAAATATTACTCACATATAAAAATTCTCAATTAAAGCTATTTGATATTATTCAAAATATTATTTATTAGTTTTAATTTTCCAAAGTATCAAATATTATTTAATATTTACATAATTTCATAACAGTTGTTTTAAAAATAAAACAAGGGGTTCTGAAAGTACTTTTTTATATTCAAAAACCAATTACTTAACAGCTAAATTAAAGACTCACCATGTTCCCTTGCTTCTCAAGAACCCCTGAATTAAACAAATATTTATGGGTAATTGTTGTTAAACCATATGTAATTAATGCAATGTTGCAAGTATTATTGTAACTCTGCATTAAGCAGTAGTACATTTAAAACTATCCAGATATTTCAATATATCAACAACACATGATTAGACATCAGCATGGAATTTCATTCCACGTTCACATGAATTAGTCTTAAGAGACACATATGATTAAAATGACTATTTTTTAAAAGCTTAAAATGTGTTTTAGAGGAAGTTGAGCATGTTACAAGACTGAATATTCCAAATCCATGAATACAGAACTAACAGCTTGTACATCATTGTGCAGAGATGGAAAGTGCATTCATGTTGTGAATAGTGAAGATGTTCACCATGAAGTGACTTTAAAATAACCTCCCACCGCACAAACACACACAAAAAAAAATTCAACATTTTTTTAATAGTATGTAGCACTATGATTTGAGCTAAGGGGAAATTCCCTCCCCCCTTGAAGAAACTTCATAACTTGTGTTTGTGAAACTGTTTCTAAGCTAAGTGATGCTTTGAACAGACAGAAAACACATAAGTTAACGTTTATGAAATGTTTCCACACTAGATCATGCAATTTTGATATACAAGGTGTTTATAAAGTCCCAGACCCATTTTGATGTTTAATAACTCATAAAATAATGAAGATATAAACAAACTTATGGCATTTATTGATGGAATAACTTATATATTTTCCTTTTCAGGTTTGAATATCTTTATCTTTACTTTTGTAACTCTCATCTGTGTGTGTGGTTAATTTCAGTAATTTCATTTTCTCTAAATCTGTACTTTTCTAAATATTGTCTGCTTTTAATTGCATTTTTCTCTTTTTTTTTTGGCAACTCTTACATGTTATGTTTCTTTTATGTGTTTGTTCTAGTACTTTTGTATGTTGATGTTTTATTTGCTGGATATAAGGAGAATGCATACACCATAAAGAAACACAGATTTATGGTGGTTTATAGAAACGAAATCCTAATGCAAACGCAAAGAAACCAGAAGAATCCTCCATCAACGCCTCTTCGGTGGAAAAAGAATTTTCTAGAAACTGAAGTATCGCAGATAAGAACGTTCTGACATCCCTGCACAAGTGATTTTGATGTTGAGCGTGTCAGAGAGACATTTTTACACAATCCTAGAAGCGGCAAGAGAACTGGATATGCCAATTTCGACGATGTACAAGGTTTATTAAAAAAAAATTAAGACTGCATGCATACAAAGTTCAAATTGTTCAAGTTTTGGAACCGGACGATAGGCCTAGGAGGATGGCCTTTGCAACAGATATGCTAAGGAGCATAGAAGATGCTGCTGAATTTCTAATGCCCATAATGTTCTCCAATGAAGCATCCTTTCATCTTTCTGGCATTGTTAATCGCAATAATTTGAACATATGGGGATCTGAAAACTCCCATGAATACCGTGAAGCACAAAAGGATTCCACAAAGGTTAATATGTGTGTGGCTAATGCAACGACGATCATTGGGCTTTCTTTTTTACAGAAAAGATGGTCTCATCAGTCGTATACTTAGACATGTTGGAAAACTTCATATTTCCACAACTAGAAGAGCTTCAGCCACATGTCTTTTTATAACAAGATGGTGCATCACCTCATTGGGGTACCATCGTTCGTAGTTCTTTGAATGACCATTTTACAGGAAGATGTATTGGGCGACGAGGCCCAATTCCTTGGCCACCCAGATCACCTGATATAACGCCGCTGGACCTTTTCAGGGTTCGTACACATTTCTGCACACAGAAATTAAGTACTTTTAAGGACCATTAATGAAAAAAATTAAGCACCTATGAGCAAATGATAATTGAATAAATTCAATTAAAAATATTATTCTATGCCTGACTTTCACTTTTGTAATACCATCCTAAAAAAAAAAAAAAAAAAAATAGGTCTTTAAGTACTATGCATTATTACCAAACATGAATTAATTAACATAATTATGAATCAGTTTGAGAATAAAATAAAATTCATGCAGTTTATCAAGTAGCATTAAATATTTTGCATTTATAATACATACTTTCAATTGTCGCCATTTTGGTTGCTCTATGTTGTGTTTTCAGTTTGCCGTGCACATTCAAAATGTTTAAGACAATTAGTTCTCCCGCTGACTCTGAGATTCGTGCCGTGATTAAATTTTTGAACGTGAGGAATGTTAAACCGGCCAAAATTTATCGTCAAGTGACAGAAGTTTCGGTGAATATGCATATGATGGAATGGTGAGAAAGTGGGTAAGAATGTTTAATGCAGGTCGAAACAATGTCCACGCCGAGGCTTGGAGTGGTCGGCCTTCTGTTGTCACGATGATTTGTTAGGAAATTGATGAAGCAATTCATGAGAACAGACGCTTCACAATGACAACTCTTCGAGGCATTTCCACAAAAATTCACGTACTGTTTTGTTCGAAATTGTGTCTGCCGCTTGAATTATTGCAACTGTGTTCCCAATGGGTTCCAAAAATGCTCACTGATGTTCACAAACAAAGCGACTTGTCAGCTGGAGAACTAATTGTTCACCCTGACATTTCTCATGGTACATTGATGAGGGAGAAAATTTTTTAAACCAAATTGGGACGGTGATGAAACTTGGGTGTGTCATTTCACACCAGAACGAAACAACAATCGATGGAGGGGAGACACACTCTTCTCCGAAAAAACAAAAGTTCAAAGTGACAATGTCATCACAAAAAATCAGTGCACACCGTCTTCTGATAGAAAGCGTTTTGCTTACTGAATTTTTTCCCAGAGGTGAAACCATTAATGCGGCACATATTGTGAGACTTTAACAAAACTAAGGCGTGCCATTCAAAACAAACGAAGAGGAATCTCAGTAAAGGATGTGTTGCTCCATGACGCTCGGCCCCATACTTCTGGTGTCACTCAATCATTAATCGACAGTTCATTGGGAATTCGATCACCCGCCATACAACCCGGATTGGCGCCGTCCGACTCACTTGTTCCGCACATGAAGCGCAAGCTTGGTGGCAAGCCGCTTTGATCTGACGATGACACGAAAAATGCTGTGGAGTCGTGGTTATCGAAACTGGCGGAAAGTTTTCTTTGACGATGGTATACAAAACTGGTAACCCGCTATGACAAGTGTTTGATCATTGGCGAAAACTATGTTGAAAATAGTTTAAGACATGTATTTTCATGTAAAAATAAAATTGGATTCAAAAAAATGGTTTTACTATTTTTTTTCCTTTTTTTTTCAAAACGGTACTTAGTTTCCGAATACACCTCGTAGGTTGGACATATTTGAAAGAAGATAAGTGACATTTAGATTTTACTAATAGTTAGCTTTATGTTGATTTTTTTTATGTCTCATTTTGTCACATAGTTGGTCAGTGCAAAGTAGAGGTTCTCAATTGGTGGTACTCAAGAAAAAAATACATGGAACAAAGAAGCAAATATTTTAATTTTTTAAAAAATTAAAACCCCCACATCTGATTTTTTTTTCTAACACCGAAAATTTATGCAATAGAGCTTTCACGAGTGTGGTGGTACTAAAGGTTTCATTTTTTTTGTTTAATGGTACACGTTAGTCAAAGTTTGAGAACCTGGTCTAGAGATTTAGTAATAGCAGGTAGATTTTATGTCAAACGTCCAAGTTAAAATGAGAAGTAAGATCATTAATCAATGATTCATAACAAAAGACTGAATGTTATCACGTTGCTGCTTGTCTAGAGAAGATCCTGATTAGAAAAACCTGAAAGCCTGATGTAGGCAGGTTGGCAAGTTTTAAAAGTTAGTTAGGCTCTGTTTAATGTTTAGTGTCATAACTTTGTGTTAGACTTCCAGGGTTGTACCCAGTTAATATACTTTCAGGTTCCAATAAGCCATTAAAGCACACAGGTGATCGTTGTTTTGTATTATTTTAAAGCCTCACTAGGCAAAGAATAAGTTTTACTTGAATTTCTACATTTGTGTTTTTTTTGTGACCACGTGAGTTTAATGAAAAGCAATAATCATTTTAAATTAGAGATAATTTTTAAGGAAGCAGTTAGTATAAATATTAAATTAGGTAAATAGTACCTTATCATTGATTTACTGGCCCTATTAAATTTTATTTTTAAACAATATTTGTTTAAAAAAGGCCCTATTAAAAAGAAAATCTAATAAAATTTCACAGTTTTAAAATACATGTAATTTATGAAACTGATTCTTAAAGGATATTAGAATATTCACAGTAAAAGCTACAAAACATTTTGTTTTGTAACAACAATCACTCAACAAAATATTTATTGGCATTTTGTTTGAAGCTTTCCCAACGTTGGCTATTTAAGATCAATTTCTTCTCTTTAAGCCTCTTTTCTAACATATTAGAGATTTGTCTCTATGCAACCACTGGTCTCGCTAGTTCTGCGTGCTTTATCTCCTAATTTGTCGACCTCTCCACATGTTACCTATGAGGGTTTACTGAAAGTTAAATAGTCCAAACCCCTGATAGACATGAAGCAAATTATCATAGTCTGAAAGTAACTATAATATCAGACAAAGGTTTTAAATAAGCCTCT